ACTCCTGTTTCTTCGATTACTTTGATAATCATTTCTCTTCTCTCATAGCAAGGAATCAGGATCTCAAACCAAAAGGGGATAGTGTGGGAGTGGAACTGGTCCTGGGCATGCCTTGCAGAATTATAGCAAAGAAGGAACGTGAAAAATAGAAACCCCAGAGAAGATATGAAGCAAAATCAGGAAGAAAACCTGTGTCACAGAGAAACCATGTTATGTTTAGGCTTGGAGTTTATGGTGGAAGTAGTCTAGTTTATATTTTACAAGAACACTTAAAGCCTTTATTGACAAGAACAAAATATTTTTTAATTGGGTCATGCAAGATGTGATGTACATCCTTAGCTTAATATATCTGAATGTGTGATTATTGATTTAAAAATCTGATATGCACTCTATGTCGTCATTTAAATTTATTGCTGGGTCGTGTTAGATGTAACATGTTGGGACATGAGACATTGTATATAAAGACTGGAGATAACTGTACACTTGGTCGTGGGAAATTGAAACATTTTCAGGAATATAATTTTTGTAACTCAATTAAGACACAATGAGATATTCATGTAAAAAGCAATTGTTTTCTATGGCAGATTATATAGAGAGTAATTTCTATTTTTACTCTGGTAGCCTTTTGTAATGTTAGTCTACACAAAGGGATTTATACTGGAAGCAGCACTGGATCATACTAGAATGACTGAAGGGAATCACTGGCTGAATCAGGGACTAGTTTTCACCACCTATTTTGTAAACTTTTTTAATGAGGTGGAACTTATGACCTTGGCTAGCCCTCACCAGCGTTGGTTTTTCATTGAAGGTAGACTTGGATATTCCAAATGTCTGTTTTGTTACAAATGTCTTAAGCAATGTGGAGTGGAATTCCTGTTGGTTTAGGTTAATCAGCAAAAGTGAGGAATTTTATCGTTCCTGTTAATGTAATTGGTCTTGAACAAAAAACAACAATGTCTGTTAACATAACAACACAACCCTCAGCACTGATAATGTATTAAACCAAGACAACAAGGTGCAGAGCTGGATGAACACAGCAGGCCAAGCAGCATCATAGGAGCAGAAGCAACACCAATAACAGCACTTGCCTTCTTCTGAGCCAAATGCCTCTCCACTGAACAGAGCATCAAACTGAAGGAGTCAATCCTGCCAGCACAGGATCTACAGCAGAAGATCAGCTCCCTTGACTTGACTGAGCAACAGGACGTCAGGACTATCAGACTTACATGGCAAGGTTATTGCTGACATCTTCAGCCTCCTGGAACAGGATCTCGCTCCCAGTGGACCAAATGGGTACACAGTGCCTAGGGCCATAAAGGCAGAGCCCCAAAAATCTTTACTTGAAGCTTCTCCTTGGGATTTGCATCTACACGATTTCACAATCTGCTGCTCACAGTACATTTTCCAACTCACTGCTGTCAAATTTGCCAGAACTATCACTTGCATCCACTTTACTAATGATGAGGCTAGTCAGAACCAGAGAGCTCTCATAATTGCAGCACTGGCTGGATTGCTGGGTCGAAGGAGTTATTGAGTACACACACATACGGCAGTCAAGTTACCCGGAGATCAACCAGCAGGACTGGTCAATCAGAAGGGATACTACTCTATCAATATTCAGCTGCCATGTGACCACAGGAGGATTCCCCTGCCTGTTGGTGGAAGGTATCCAATCAGCTGTCATGCTGTTTTTATTCTGTGCCAGTCACACCTTCCACAGATCCTCACACCTCCACACACCTCCAGGCAGAGTCAGTAGGTATGGCATTAGAGACAAGGACTACCCTTTAAGGACTAGGCTGATTAAATCAGTGAGAACTCTCCCATTGATGCAGACAAAATATACAACTAGAGACATATTTGTTGTAGTATGTAATGATTCCAAAAGAGTTAATATTGAAGTTGCAGTAGCTCCATTCAAGCTGAATATGTTACATACATCTGTAGCTGGAGACAGTGAAATGTATAGTAGCCTTCCTAGGGAACAGTTGTATTATGTACAGCTCCCAGAAGTTCTCGTAATTATGCCTGGCTAGGGTGCCATTGTACTTATTGCTATCATGCAATAAGCCATCTTATTAACTCAGATCAGTGATTCCTCCACCAAAATTAAAAGTTCCTTGCTGTCTACCTTATCTATGTCCTCATTACTTTATACATCTTAATCATGTCCTTCCTCAGTCTCCTCTGCTCGAAGGTAAAAACTCCCAGTCTGTCCAATCTTTCTTCATAACTGAAGCTCTCCAGGCCATGCAACATTCTGGTAAATCGCCTCTGCACCCTTTCCAGAGTTATCACATCTCTCCTCTAATGTAGATTCCAGAACTGCACACAACTCTTAAGTTGTGGCCTAACCAACATTTTATAGAGTTCCAGGCTAATAAAGGCAAGCATTTCCTATGCCTTCTTAGCCATTTTATCCACCTGTCCCGTTACTTTTAGGGACACATACACCAAAGTCTCTCTGATCCTTGATGCTTCCCAGGGTCTGATATTGAGCTCACCCCATACCATTAAGGGTGGGCAATACGGAATCGCATGCCTGCCCACAATATATAATTAAATAATTAATGGTCAATTCTTAAAGCTTCTTAAATGCTTAATTGATTCCAATATTTCTCTTCTCTCACTGTCAAATGATTGCATGGACTGGTGGACAGGAGTGGGCTGCCTGCTTATCTTAAAAGTTTTAAAGTGGTAGGAAAGGAGCGGGAGTTCTATCCTTGTAGAATGTTCTTTGTCCAATGGGGGGCATCGCCTGAGAAGGTAGTATCTGCACCCCCTCCCTGCCTTCCTTTCTGTCTACTCTTGAAAACCACCATACCCATCCAACCCTTCCCTCACAGGGGTAAGCAATCTCCACCCAATATCCCTGAATTACTTCACTCCCTAATCCATCAGACCTCCATAATGGGACTAACTGCAGTGCTGGTGGTGCCCACTACTGAGCTGTGGTGCTGCCAGGACTATTGGAACTGTCAGTCAACTATAGTGGCTTAGCATTTCCTTCCTAGTGAGGGGCAGAAGTCCAACTCCCCAGCACTTCAGCCCACTGCTACTTTCTGGTCCGACAGACCGACTTTCCTTCTGGGTGGCAAGCAGTCAGATCCCAACCCCCAATTTCCTGCCCTTAATTCCAACTGTAGCATTACACTAGTTCATCACCATTCCTTGCTCCTAGATACAGTGCCCCATGTATGAAACCAACAGTACTGTTTAGTGCTATTTATGTCTTTTTCCCGCCTTTTAAAGAAACATGTCTTTCTATCCGTAAATCTCTTTCCCCTCCACTTCGCTAAAAATCTTATAGATGCAACTCCATCCCTTGTTCTTTATTGCCCTATATCTAATACTTCAGTTTACCTCTTTCAAACTATATTTGCCATTTTTTTGCCCACCTCCCTTAAGTTATCCAATTCTTTTCACAGGTTCTCAAATCTAATCTGACCATCAGCAGGTTTCCTTTTAATAGTACACTACTGCCTCATGCATTTGTTTGTGTGGAAAATAATTCAAAATGTCATTGACTGTTACAATTAATATAATATTCCTGATATAATTTTAAGATTTTCAAATAATATTGCTAACATGATGAGTGACTTATCACAAAGAAATTTATTGTAGATTACAATGGAGTTTTCACGGCGACTAAAAATAATTTATTATAAACAAATCTCCAATGTTTTAACACTTACATCATTTGCCATTTGCAATTAATGAATAACCTGCTCTTCCAACACAGACATTACAAGCAGCTCAGATGATTTTTGACTTGCTCCCAGACCTCTTAAAATTTAAAACATGATTGGATTTTACAAGCTCAAAGATTTTGAACTTTTTAAACCTCAAATATTTTATTTTTGCGTTCTTGCAACTCTGAATTGTGAATTATTTTCAGAATGTGTCTTTTACTTAATTTTATGAAATTGATATCATAGGATGGAGAAAGGATGGTAATTGGTAACTAGGCAATTTAAGTAAATGTGATCAGGGTATATGCAAAACTTAACTGGAATGCAAACTTTGAGAAGAGAGAATTTGATACACTACACGGTCATTCCTATACATATGGTGAAGAACACACATTATATTACATTATCCATTTCTTGATAAATTTAACAAACCCAAGGCTCAAGGGGAATTAGCATTATTGATAAGTATGAAACAAAAAGAGTTACAAGGCCAAATACAATTGCAAATAAGCAGTCAAAACAATGGAAAATCGTTACAATTTAACACGGCTGAAAAACCCAGAAAAATGTCAGGTCAGGAACACAATATGATTCCAGCCACTTACAAATTTAAAACAGGCAGGCTTGCAGATGAGTGAGAAACTCTTGTGGGGACACTAGTTAAGTAACATATTAAAATCCTAAATTTAATATCAGACTAAACACAGGTTTCTGGCTTTAACAGCTAACATGAGTTTCTTGAGCTGTGTGGAACTCATCAGTATCAACCTGGAGCAAATACAGCAAGAAGTGCATAATCAATGAAAATAACAGGCTAGGAAGCCTTCAAAGGTTGAAACTGAATAATTGCAGCTCTAGTTAGGTGAAAGGCTACTACTCATTGCATGTTTTTCTTTCAACTGGAATACCTGTGTAGAAATCAAAAGCTGGAACCCTGGTCAACTTTCCTTTTCTCAGCTTAGCATATGATGGTCACTTGTAATGATCTAACTGTTATTCATATCAAGGTTCACAAAAAAGGAACCTTCATGTTCTGTAAAGTTGCATGATGCAATTAGACATTAAGCCATCAGAACAATTCAAAACATTTCTTTGTCTTTTTTATCTTTAAATTGCTTCAATTCAGTTGACAGGAAAATAGCTTTCCATGGCAGTATACATTCCCTTGTTCATATTGACCAGGGCTAGAAAGTTGTGTTTGTCCTTGTAACTTTCTTACAAATATAAAATGTGGAAACTCAACTCAGGTTACTTTGGGACATGAATGTTAATATTTTTGCTCAAAACAAATTCTTGATAAGAACTTACAAATCATTAAACTTCTCCAAAGACAGATCTGGTGTGAAAACATCCAACAGACCAATTACCTAGAGAGAAAACAGAATATGTTTATAGTCAATTTATGATTTATTCAGATCATCATCCAATACATCTGAAAAGAATGGTAAACAAAAGACAAATCATGGGATAGGTTTCTTCAGTTATCAAAAAAATGTATTTATTCCTGAAATACTTTTATTTTTAGTGCACTTCAAAGGGCTCTGCCTTAATGAAAAAGTGCTTGTAAACCAAACAAAAAATGTTTGCCAAATGTACAATAGTGACACATACTAGAGTGAAATCAGAAGTTTAATCTGTGCTCGAAATATATTACTCCCTTGTTGAAGAATCTCGTTGAAAATGATACAGGACCCTTACTGGGCTCTTCTCACCCTCTGCAAAATAACAGGCTGCATGCTTTCTCGACAAAGAGTTATACATTTGCCTTCCTCAGTTGACTAAATGAGCAAAAATGAATTTTCAGACCTTATCTATTTTATCAGAGATAAGTTGGGCTGCCAATTCACTATCGTCCATCTGCACTGTTGCACAAGTTAATTTTATACACACAATAGCTTTTCAAGAATTATTTTTTACACAAATATTAAAGATTCAAAGATTTAAGGAAGACAAACACTAAAATTATTGTACATATAGATATATATACACATTTCTTATTGTACCAACAATACCATGAGGTGACTGGCTTAGATGTGTTAATGAATCTAGTTAGGCTGTTGAGTTAAATTAAAACAAAATGCTGAAGAAACTCAGTATGTCTGGCAGCATCTATGAAAAGAGAAACTGAGTTAACGTATCTAGTCCTGTAAGACTCTTCTTCTGAAGAGGAATATATTGGACTTGAATTATTGTACGTTTCTGTCTCCACAGATGTGTCTGTTCCTGCCCCCCACACCCCCGCACTGAGTTTATCCATTACTTTCCGTTCTTATTTCAGATCTGCAAATATTTTGTGTTTTTAAAAAAAAAAAAATTCACTCATGGGGTGTGGACATCGCTGGCTGGCCAGCATTTATTGCGTGTCCCTGGATGCCCTTGAGAAGGTGGTGGTGAGCTGCCTTCTTGAACTGCTGTAGTCCATGTGCTGGAAGTCAATCCACATTGCTGTTAGGAAGGAATTTCAGGATTTTGACCCAGCGACAGCGAAGGAATGGCAATATATTTCCAGGTCAACATTGTAAGTGGCTTGGAGGGGATCTTGCAAGTGGTGGTGTTCCCACATATTTGCTGCCCTTGATGTTCTAGATGGAAGTGATCGTGGGTTTGGGAGGTGCTGTCTGAGGATATTTGGTGAGTTTCTGCAGTGCATCTTGTAGATAGTACACGTTGCTGCTAGTGAGCATTGGTGGTGAGGGAGTGGATGTTTATGGATGTGTTGCCAATCAAGCGGGCTGCTTTGTCCTGGATGGTGTCAAGTTTCTTGAGTGTTGTTGGAGCTTCATCCATCCAGGCAAGTGGGGAGTATTCCATCACACTCCTGACTTGTGCCTTACAGATGGTGGACAGGCTGTGGTGAGTCAGGAAGTGAGTTACTGGTTCCAGTTTTCCTAGCTTCTGACCTGTCCTTGCAGCTACTGTGTTTATGTGGTGAGTCTACTTGAATTTTTGGTCAATGGTAACCCTCAGGATGTTGCTAAATGATCTGATTATAACCTTACAACTTTACTTTAGCTCTGTCACAATGCTTGGTTCAGTAACAATGTCAAATTAACTTCTCTCAATAATGTCATTGAATTCCATTGGTTAACGAATGCAGATTCAAACCCCTGTCAACCTGGTACTGGATAGAGGGCATCAGGGCTTCTTGTACTGAGCTACTTACATGACCTGAAGGTATTCCTAGTCAGCTCACCAAAATTTTCACCTTATTGTAGTTCAGCGAGACTGGCAGGGTGAACTCACTGGGGATATCCAGTGTACTGGAGGCTGTTGAAATGATTTTGGATAAAGGTCCTGCCTAATTGTCTCTTGTGACCCCACAGAGCACAGAACTAACAGGATTTTGAAACCAGCCACAGTGCCATGACTTTAGATCACCTTGTGCAGGGAGTACGGCACATCTAAACAAGACATGAAGCTGGGAACACCCCCAACTGCCTCATTGGTCCACATCCGATAGGCCAGGAAATCAGCAAGGGTCTTCCAAACATGTCAAATTAATAGTTTTTTTTTGAAATGAAAAGATTTACACTGAATTGTCAACTTTTTTTATTTAGTCATTGGATGTGGGTGTTGCTTTCTGGCCAGCATTTCTTACCTGTCCCATCCCATAATGGAATTTCTTTTACCCGGAAATTCCTCATGGTCAATGTGGAGGAAAGGGAAAGTGGACCAGTCCAGTTCAACTTTGCAGCATAGGCAATTACATGTTCCCAATTCCAATAACTCCCACTTGGGTATCCTGTGCTATCTTGAACATGCAGACACTGAAATCCAATACAGCTGCCTGGTGACACAATAGTTAATACCAGCTGAGCAATTCCCCATCAAGCCTATAGAGAAAAAATAATTTTACAACATAACTTATTTTAATTCTATACTTTTTGCATGTTTCCACAGGACCAAATGGAAAACTTAAATCGAAACACCATGAACTAGAACAACCAAATGTGGACATGGTAAAGGGAAAAAGCAGAGAATGGGGTGACTATTTAGGGAAAAATTCAGCATTCACCTGAATCAGTGTGCTCTTTGATTAGTACTGCTGCCTCACAGTGCCAGAGACCTGGGTTCAATTGAACCCTGGGCGACTGTGTGGAATTTGCACATTCTCCCCGTGTCTCTGTGGGTTTCGTCCAGGTGCTCTGGTTTCCTCCCACAGTCCAAAAGATGTGCAGTTTAGGTAGATTGGCTTTGCTAAATTATCCATAATGTCCAGGGATGTGCAGGCTAAGTGGATTAGCCATGGGAAATGCAGGAACAAAAACAGAAGTTGCTGGAAAAGCTCAGCAGGTCTGGCAGCATCTCTGAAGAAAAAATCAGAGTTAATGTTTCGGGTCTGGTGACCCTCCCACAGAACGTCAACCCTGACTTTTTCTTCACAGATGTTGCCAGACCTGCTGAGATATTCCAGCAACTTCTGTTTTTGTTCCTGATTCACAGCATCCACAGTTCTTTTGGTTTTTATGGAAAATGCAGGGATGGGGTGTGACTGGGTGGGATGCTCTTCAGAGGGGCGGTGTGGATTCAATGGGCTGAATGGCTACTTCCACACTGTAAGGATTCTATGATGAATGACAGTCACTGTTGGATTACATTATTGCATTAGGACTGACATCTGGATTTCTCGCTGGCAATTCCATTCCCAGTTCCTCAGAAATGTGGAGAATTCCTGATACCTTAACAATACTCTTGGTTCATGATAATTGGGGGAAAAAAATCAAACTACATCCACTTTTTAAAGGTGGTAAAATGTCCATTTTTAAAGGTTTTAGATGGTCTGTGTGTGTAGGTCAACTTATTCTCTCAACTTCTTTCTTCAGTGTGAACACCTACCTTATAGCTCCTCTCTGCTAGTGAATACCGCTCCCTCACCCTCACTCCCATCCTCCAACAGGAGGCTTAGTGGTGAGTCAGTAGTTAATTTATTTGTTATCTCGGGCTTAAACTAGGTTTTTAATCCTCTAATTTTTTCCTGGCTAACCATTAGCTTAAGGGACCGTTCCAACTACAATGGACTCTTTTGAATGGTCCAATGCAAGGGAATTGTCCATCAGAAAGTTCAATTTCCCTGGCAATTCGCTTGGAGTCAGCTGCATCGGGATTCTACATAGTTCTGATGTACAACTCCAGTCAGCACTGCTCTCTGGATATCAGAATCTCTGGGCTGTTATACTATGGAGACTGAAAATTGGTGAAAATTCAATCAGATGCAACATAACATAATAGCATTGGACCCTGGAACTTTATCTCAAGGTATTGTTGCGCAAATCTTAAATGCATTTCGCTAAAATTCTTGCCTTTGCTATATTAGCAGTGGATTAAATTTGTTTAAAATAAGTGAATTAACATTTCATTAATACCTCATAGTAAAGGGATTTCAAAATATCACTAATATTTTCCAACTTAATTTCAGAATCTGGGTGACTTTGGGATCAAGGGAGGAAGATCTTGTGGAGAAGATGAGCTCAGAAAGGACATGAGGACAGATAGGATCAGGCTTAGGCCTAGGCCTAATGAGAGAACAGGAAATGACTGGGTGGAGATAGGTTGGGTAAGGACTTAGGGGTCATCTGCAACTCTCAGTGCAGCATACTGAATATCCTAAATAAAAACCGAAAGAACTGTGGATGCTATAAATCAGGAAAAAAAACAGAAGTTGCTAGAAAAGCTCAGCAGGTCTGGCATCATCTGTGAAGAAAAAAATCAGAGTTAACATTTCAGGTCTGGTGACCCTTCCTCAGAACTCATTCAGACCGAAAATGTTAACTTTGATTTCTCTTCAAAGATGCTGCTAGACCTGCTGAGCTTTTCCAGCAACATCTGTTTATGTTTCTGATTTACAGTATCCACAGTTCTTTCTGTTTTTATTTACTACATATCCTTGTCCTTCACAATGTTTGTCTATTATGGTGAACCTTACCATTCCATTCTTACTTGTACTGATTCAGAGCATGTACAGCAAGGGTGTCTGCTGGTGCAATTGTGGGCACGTTGGGCTGAATGGCCTCCTTCTGAACCATAATAATTCTGTGATTCTCCTCCTACCCCCTCAAAGGGTCATATCAGGGCTTCCTCAAGGAACCAAGCTTACTCCACTTCTCTTTCTAATCTTTGTGCAACTCCTCAGTGCTATCACCTGATGGCGTTAGGTCAGCTTCTGTAAATATTCTAACAATACCTAGGTTTCACCTTTGACTGTGTTTCTTCACTCCTTAAATCTGCGAAACCACCCAACTGACAGTAAATTATAAATTCCCTCCCAATTCATTCAACTGAGCTTTGGGAAGGCTGAAGCTACCTTTTCTGACTCCAGCCAAATATTTTGTTTGCTTTCACTGACTCACCCTTATGCCTGCTTGTTTAC